GTCCCCTTTGCAGAACTACTAAAATCCAATATGGACTGCTTCAAGCTCATTCTTGTCGTCGCTCGTTTTTGGTGGGTTGGCGACCAGACGACAAGATTTGTTCAGGCCCGAGTTGAACCAACTACAGTAAATCGCAAACGTCCAATTCGAGTAGTGAGATATGATATAAATCGGTGGTAATGGCCAAGTGCGTGTTTACGATAACGGCGTTGTTGGGGGGGGGGGTTTCCTTATTCGAGGCTATTGGGATGCCTGCGACTAGCCAGCGACTAGCCAGCGCCCCTCCTGATGTTCCGAGGAGTAGTCGTCTCCAGTAAAGTGAAGGGCTTGCAGCGGGCGGCATTTTCAGGTTTCGTTAGTTCGATGACGCCGTTCATCATCCTTCTAGCTTTGTCATCGGATCCACTATTTGAGCTTCCATTGCAAGCGTCCGTAAGTCGAAACTGCAGACCATCGTCCTTGACCGTATCTGGAACATTCGGCAGTCAACAGAAATGTGACAAGAAATGTGCGGGATAACAGCTAAAAGCGGATTGCAGCGGCAGCTCTGAAAAAAAGTTTCTCATCGCGAGAGTGCTTCTTTAGGCTCCTAGCAACAGAGACCGCGTTGTCCGACACAGAAAGCTGTTTCCTGAACCAATATGGCTTTCAGTATTATTAGGAATGTCAAGGATGCGAAGCCCATTGCTAAGCCTATCAATTCCTCTGCTCACCAGTTCAATTACAGGTAGAAGACGCGTTTTGTAAGCATTTCGTGGCTTCTCGAAAAAACGTGTGAGAATGAATTAGAAATGTTCAGTTTAAGGTTGCTTCAATACTTTTCGGCAGCCTTCACCAACTTTCACCAGCGTCCACGAGCGACTACTAGCGTTCCGAGTGTCCGGCAGCATTAGCGTCTAGGAAAGTATAGACATCGACTTAACGACTGCCACGTCTACTAGCATCCACGAGACAGGGAGTAGAGAGGGCGGGGCAGTTAGGAGCGTAGTGAGCACAGGGCACTAACATTCGATGGGGATTTTGGTGGAGCCCGTAGACCCCCCCCCCTTTTTTCGGTACGGATCGGTAGACCCCACTTATATCTGAACTTATGAAGTTTCTTCCCCCTACCCCTCCCCCCCCCCCCCGAGGAAGGAGAAACTTCATAACTTTATGTATACATAAGCGCGAAAAATGGAAAAAGTAACAATCCTGAATGAGGCCCCCCTCGCTTTTTGCCCTTTTCATCCTAGTTCAGAAAAGAGAATAGAAAGAAAGTCCGTTAGGTTTCACCCACCTTCCCTCGAGTCAAAACAAACTCTGGTACCAAAATCAATTGCAATTAAAAGAAAAAAAAACAGGAAATCAAGCCAATTCCTCCTAAGAGCACTTTAGCAGTCCAAGCAAAATTGCTGGGGCGCGCTCTGACGCGTACTCGAGTAAACTAGAAGAAGATAAATATTCGATATTCGAGTAAACCATGAAGAAGATAAATATTCGATATTCGAATAAACCGAGAAGAAGATAAGTACGAAAAAGTAAATACGAACGAGTGCAAACCAGCCGTAATCAGCTGAGTAACACGTTCACAGCATCGCCGTTCCGCCAAAAACTTCCGTTTGTCGAGCGGCGCGTTCGCGGCGGGCGACACTCCGGCAATCGTCCCGTTTATGGTTAATCGCACTCGCAACGAATACACCTTCGCCAAATACCACGTGATTCGTCTTTTTGTCCATTCTTTTACAATTTTTCCCCTCTGCATGGTTTATCTCATTACTGGTGAAAGAACCAGGTATCTTGCCCCTTTTGAAGTTGAGTAAACAAAAGTAAACACTATTCAGTCCTCTAAACACCAATACTGCCTCTCCTGCTTCCAAAGAATGCACAAGAAGTATTTTTAGTGTTACTTATACACTATTTATTCTATTATTTGTATATAAGTGTCAGTGAAATGAAAAAAAATCATTAAAAAAACAAGGGGGGAGGCGCGTGTATTCCTGGGAGTACACTATTAGTCTGAAGTAAAAAGTTTTCGTGTGTTTTTTGGCAGTACACGCCTATTCTAAGTATGGATAACATTTCTCTATCGTCTGTTTCAGTATATGTATGCAATTAACATTCAAAAAGAAAAAAAAAGCGGAAACGAGCAAAGAGGCGCGCGTACTCCTGGAAAGGACCGATTCGCCTTTAGAGAAATTTTTTTTGAATGTTTTTCCGGGTGTACACGCCTCTTGTAATGTGTATATTAATGCTCTATTAGTTGTTTATACCAGATTCTAGCTGAAAAATGGAAAAAAAAATTCAAAAAACGAGCGAACAGACGCGTGTACTCCCGAGAGTACACGATTCGCCGAAAGCGGAGTTTTTCGTGTACTCCTGGGTGTACACGGCCGCGAACGTGTTAAAGGCCGAGGTACCGGGGGAGGGATTCCGGGCAGGACCAGCCATGTGGAACGCGAGTTTTCAGCAAAGTGGGGTGTCTTTGAAGGATCATAACATCCTCAAAAGCGGACCTGGGGTAGAGGAGACCGTATTCGTGTAGAGGAAGATTTGCACTTCCTAAAAGTGTGGGAGGGCAGGTCATTGAGAGGCCCAGGAAGCGCCGTGATCTTGGCGGGAACTAGGATGTATATAAGAGTTGCGGATTCATGGCTTCCCTGCCTCATTTTTCAATCTGTTTTTGACCGCCGAGTCGCGGTGCTGCCTCACCCCCTTATTTGAACCTACCGAAGATTCACTTCATTATTCGCCTTATTTTTTCATTTGATTTGGTTGCCGTTTCTTTCATTGTGTATTTGTTTAATAAATTGTTCTCGTAAACAGTGTCTTTGTCGTGCTCGCAGAACTGTCACTTCGGTGTCATACTTGATCGAATCACCGGAAACACATCCGGTACATGGGGGCCGAACCGATCAAGTCGAATCGATTGTGACTGCACATAGAAGAGAAGAGCATAGAAGACAGAGAAAGGTCGAAGGGGACCGCATAAGCCGAACTGGAGAACCAGCGTGGGGGACGTTTGAGATCGCCGACAAGTGAACAGGAAAGGCGACCTCCAGCTCCATATTGATAGAAGCTGTTCAGATAGTGAACAGCAGGAGTCAGACCAGGGACGCGAAGTAATCCGTCCAAGGGCTGGTAGAGGAGGCGAATCAAGCAGGGATTCGCCGGTAACTTTCGAGAAAAGGTGATCTCTTTTTGGCTAGGGGCCAAGAGAGGGAACCCCAAGAGGGATGCAGAGTAAGCCGTCCAGGGAAGTGAGAAGGCTTTACAAGAGTGAGGTGTAAGGCGGTACATTATGTTTTGTGGTGTTCATTATTGCGTGTTATCGATCGATAGCGTAGCGATAGAGCTCGGCGTCGTGATATTGATATCCGTGATATTGATCGGAGTAACATTGTCTATTGCAGAATAAGTGAAGAAGATGGAGAACCCCGCGAGGGCGATGTTGATGAGAACAGCATACCTCAGGTTAGTGATCAAAGATTTGGGGTTAAGCGGATAACAGATGAGTTGGATAAGGTGGGAGATGAGGTTAAGCAGTTACCGTTCCCGTGGGTTGAAGAGGAGCTATCAAAGGCACGTGTAGCCGGGAAGTATAGAAACCAGTTGATGGAAATTTTGTACAGCCATACTAGCCGGGCATGTACAATTTTGGAGGACATAAGAGCGAGTGTGGTAGGGCATGAGATGTTTAGCAAGGACCTGTTGCAGACGCTTCAGGAGAAGGGGATAGAAAGTAGGAGGATCTGAATGAGTATATTAGTGTGACAGAAACGGATGGTGAGCTATTAGCAGTAATATGTGACATGTTCCAGACTGACGTCGCGCACATACGCGGAGTACTCAGCGAAACCCAGGCTTCAAGGAGGAACATTCGAAGCAACAAGGAGCTCAATGAAGATGAAGAAAAGATGAATACCGAGCACGATGAAGGTCGGTCAATGGATAGGCGTGTTCAGATTCTGCCACGGAGAAGTCGGACGTCACCGATTGGAGCAGCTTACGCGCCAGCTTCGAGGCAGCATTCGGAGACATCGGGACGACAAAACGACACATCAGGTCAGGATGCTGAACTTCATGGCACTTATCCAAGCTAATGCATGCATGAGCCCTGGGATATTCAGAGGGAATAAGGGCGATAACTTTGAAGAATTCATAAGACGATTCAAGCGAAAATATAGGACTGTTATTCTTGATGATCAGACTCTACTTGACATTTTGGTTGACGATCATCTGGAAGGCAGGGCCAAGAGCGTTTTTCTTTCATTGCCTAGGAATGTAAGAGAGCAAAGTTTTGAGACAGTGGTGGAAGAACTAAGGAACTTATTGGCAAACGATTCAACGGCGGGACGATTGAGGGCATTGGCCGAGTTACGAACCTTAAGGCGAAGATGGGATCAAAGTGTAGCGGACTTTTGTCTTGCACTGGAGAAACTCGGGTGACAGGCTAACCCCTCCGGTAGCATGAAGGATAGATCGCTTGAATACGCTCAGATACTTCTGGACAATTTGACGGACTGACCGGAATACGTCCACCTACCGAGCACGCTACACAGGGTAGACCCCACTGAGGCGTATGACTCCGTCAAGCAGTTGGCTCTGAGCATAGAGCAGTCAAAGGCGATATGGACTCCGAGAGTGGGCACGCGCAGAGATGGATGGAAAAGGAGGTCAGCCGCGTACCATCAAGAAGAGAGGAATCGAGAGCTCGAGTTAAAACCCGTACAGGACAGAGGGCATAGCGAAGTCAATTTGAATGATGGGCCCAGGCAGGGGGCCAGCAGAAGCGAGATGAGGGATTCCAGACCCAGTGAGGAGGTTCGGAATGGTGGGAATGGGGGTCTCGCTGAAAGAGAACAGGGAGGTCGTAGCGAAGGAGGCAGCGATAGAAGAAGATGCTACAATTGCCAGCAGATAAGGCATATTGGGAATGATTTTCCACGAGGAGACCCCGCGTTAACCAGATAGTGGATACGTCCAACAATACGACAAGTGAGTCAGAAGAGAATCGTAAGAACATGACAGGATTGATCAAGAGTGCGCGGTGCCTTGGCATAAGAGCCAGCGGCGTCATGAGTGGACCCTTAATAGGTAAGATATGCTCAGCATGGGTCACCATTTTGTCAGCTCGGGTGCGCGCCGTGCTTGATACGGGCTCAATGATTAGCATAGTACCAATAGCTGTACTGGCACAGGCACAAAGGAGGGGCTTTGACGTTGACAGTTTAGAGATGATTTCTAATTCAGACATGGTTCCAGTGTATGACGCATCAGGTAATCGCATGGAGTTTATGGGAGCTGTGAAGATTACGGTAGAATTAAAAGCAGGTAGAAAAGTCAAAGTGTCTTTCCACATTATGGATGTCAGTGAAAAAGAGATATTACTGGGTACAAACTCCTTGGACCAGTTGGGTGTGAATGTGCATATATCACCAGAGCTAGATCCGGATAAGGACAGGGTGCCCTCAAGAAAGGTAATAGTAGCTAGGAGGGCGTACATTACTCCGCATAGTGCAGCGATTGTATCGGCTCGATGTGAGGGGCATGGTTATGAGGGAGATCCCCTCATTTGGCCACAGAGGACTGGGATGGTTGCAGGGTGTATACCATCAAAGGTCGAAGTGTAGATGTTTCCGTGGTGAACGATAGCGATGAGCCCATGATCTGTAGAGAAGAAGACGTGACAGGTCAGTGGGGGACAGAGAAATGGCGTGAGGTTGGGAAGATGTGAACCCGCTCATGCTGGATAGTACATCCTCTGATATGAGTCCAGAGAAGAGGCGAATTTTACTGCTAGAACAGATCGAGGAGGCGCCAAGTGTAGAAACTTTGAGCGAAGATGTTGAGTCAATTTTGGATGAGTTTCCTAAAGCTTTTTCAGTAAATGATGAAACAAGGCCAGTTCCACTGGGCATGAGAAAGAAACTTAGAGAGCTCCTAGAAGATTTGGAAAGGAGGAAAGTGATAGAAAAAAGTAGTTCAAAGTGGGTTGTTCTGGTGGAGAAGAGAGATGGCAGTCTTAGATTATGCGTGGACTACCGCGAGTTAAATAAGAAAATAAAGCTTGACTCATGCCCTTTACCCACGATAGACGCAGTATTGCAAAGTTTGTCGGGTAAATCGTATTTCTCGACTTTGGATCTTTGTAGTGGACACTGGCAAATCCCACTTACGGCTGAGGCACGGGAGAAATCAGCGTTCACTACGCCTGAAGGACTATTCCAGTTTCGTGTGACTCCTTTTGGATTGAGCCCCAGTCCGCCTGTCTTCCAGAGACTAATGGATACAGTGTTGCGTGACCTTCTTGAAACGGAAGTTTTCTGTTACACTGATGATATAATAGTGTGTACGGAAACGCGGGAAAGGCATATAAAGCTACTCAAACAAGTGTGTGCGAAGCTGCAGGAAGCAGGGCTCAGATTGAAAGCGCAGAAGTGTGTGCTGATGCAAAGTAAGGTACATTTCTTGAAGCATGTCGTGGATAAGCAAGGTATCCATATGGACCCAAAGAAGGTGGAAGCAATCACGAGCTACAAAGCTCCGGTGAACGTGAAAGAACTGAGGACTTTCTTAGGGATGGCGTAGTTCTATCGAAAGTTCTGTTTGGGGTTCGCGAAGCGAGTGGGATGTTTGTTCTCTCTCACGTCTCTGAAGACGGCTTGGAAGTGGACGCAGGAGCATCAGGAGGCGTTCGACATTGTTAAGAAGATGATATCAACGTCACCAGTGTTGATGCAGCCAAATATAGCAAAGAGGCTAGAGACGGTTCTCGACCATTGTGATATGCACAGACGCCTCAACGTCGGGGTTGGGAGCCGTGCTGTCCCAGGAGGGGGACGACAGCAACTTTCATCCGGTTTACTTTGCGTCGAAAGGGCTCAGCTAGGCAGAGCGCAGGTATCACGTGACGGATTTGGAGGCTTTAGCGTAGTGTTCGCGGTTAGGCGGTTTCACATGTTCATCTATGGACTTCCCACAGTGGTTCTGACAGACCATCAGCCACTGACTGCACTTTTCAACAGGACGAATGTGTCGGGCAGAGTTTTGCGTGGGTCTCTGCAGGTTCAAAGTGATGATCTTGAGATAAGGTATGTGAAAGGGAAGACAAATGTGGCTGCAGACGCGCTTAGTCGAGGGGCTGTGCAGTGGAGCGATCCGGAGTCTGAGCACGAGCTCAACGAGGCAGTGGTGAATACCATTAAGAAGAGGAGGAAGACCAAGGGATGACGGAGTTAGAGAAAGACGAGGACTTCGCTGTTATCTTCGATGCATTGAGGACTGGGCGTAGCGATGACGTCGTGACAGTGCCAGGGATACGAAATCCGGTGAATGTGGCGGACTTCATAATAGAAGACGGGGATTTGAAAATGTACAACAGTGAGGGAAGTTTGGTATATGGTGTACCAAGAAGCGCCCGCTACGAAGTTTTCACGAAGCCCACGCAGGAACGTTTGCAGGGCATTTCAGTGCACACAAGGTGTTGAATAAACTGAGGAAGCAAGTTTTTTGGCCAGCCATGGCACGAGGTGTCTATAAGTGGACACGAGAGTGTCAACGATGTTTCGTACACAACGCTAAGTCACGGGTAACACCCCCATTGAAGCCAATAGTCACTTCGAAACCCTATGAAGTTGTCGGTGTGGATGTTTTAGAATTGGGGATGACGTCGAGTGGGAATCGGTATGCGATTACCGTCATCGACCATTTCTCGAAGTTTGCAGCAGCCTACCCTGTAGCGGACTAGTCGGCAGAAACGATTGCGAAAACGCGTTTCGTCAGATGGATAGCGGAAGGATGCCGCTGGCCTAAGGCAATCTTATCGGACAGGGGTGGAGAATTTGAGAATAATTATGGAGGAATATAAAGTGCAATTGTTGCAGTCGGTAGCGGAGGTCCATGACCGGATAAAGGAGTATAACGAGCGTGTAAGGGAGAAAATGAAGAGGGACTATGATAAGAGAGATGGCGTGGACGAGAATAAGCTCGCGAAAGTGGGAGACCGTGTGTATATGCTGTCCCCGAGGGAGAAGGCAACGAGCTCCCACCCAAAACTTGCGTGTGAGTGGGCTGGACCTTTAGAGTTATTGAGACGAGCGATAACTCAGCAGTAATTAAGAGAACAGGTGAAAACTCAGAGCCGATTCGGGTGCAGTAGATGCGCTGAGAGTGGTCCCACCCTACATTCCAGAAGATCGAACAGATACGGTTACAAGTAGGGGTAGAAAAGGAAGAAAATCAAGAGTTAAGGTCAATAGAATAGAAAGTTTTTGTTTCAGAGGCGCACACATAAAGTCGAAGCTGGAAAAAGGACATCTCGAATACGTGTGCAAGGATGGATTTCTGAAGGACGTCAAGTTAGAGGAACTCCGTGGATTGCAGCTGCCGGGCGCTTTTGCGAAGAAACCAATGGAAACGTTGTGGAACGCATGGCGTACAGCGAGTATCTTCATCAGATCGGATATCGACATGGCCTCGAAGATAAAATTCTGGAAGGACGGAGCAGTCTGTTTGGATGAAGAAGCACTGCAGAAAGTGTTTCGCCTGGCCTACGAAAAGTGTCTCGATTGGACGGAATTCGTTTGTGTCACAGAAGGAATCAGTAAGCACGAAAAGATCGACAGCTATGGATTCGAGACGACCTATGACGTGGCACTGAATAAGGTTAAAAAGGAAATCGAACTGGAGGAGAGGGCTCAACAGCTTTCGCAGCACCGGCGAGTGCGGCGCTTTTGGAAAAGGACGGTCGGAATCTCAACGAGAGTGACCGCGAGTTTTGGCCAGTTGAGAGAAGTACTCAACGTGTTCGAGACGCATGCGATTTGGATGATCGTCCGGCCGATGAATGAGAAATGCAAGCAAGACGAGATAATGGAAATCGTGAAAGTTGTCAAATGCATTTTGAAAGAGGAGGTCGTTTGATATCAGCCTGGCCTCCTGTAGTTGCGAAAAATTTGGATATGTGGACAAAAATGGCTGATATCTGGAGGCTGATAGACAACGCCCTGAAAAAAAGGCGGGGGCAGGACAGTTTTTCAAAGCTTCCAATTCAAAAATTGAGAATGGCACAGTTTTTCGTGAGATCGGAGCCCCCGAAGCTGTCATTTCTTTTTACAGCTCCGATTGTACTGTGGCATGCGCTAAGGCTCTGTGTGAGGGTATAAGGAAAAGGGTAGCTGGTTTGGTTCCATTGCCCGAGCTCAAGAGGAACGAGATCCCACTGCTGAGGGCAGCAGCTTCAGAGGGGGGAGGCATGTGGGAGGGTAGGTCATTGAGAGGCCCCAGGAAGAGCCGTGATCTTGGCGGGAACTAGGATGTATATAAGGGTTGCGGATTCATGGCTCGTCTGCCTCATTTTTCGATCTGTTTTTGACCACCGAGTCGCGGCGCTGCCTCACCCCCTTATTTGAAACTACCGAAGATTCACTTCATTATTCGCTTTATTTGTTCATTTGATTTGGTTGCCGTTTCTTTCATTGTAAAGTATTTGTTTAATAAATTGTTCTCGTAAACAGTGTCTTTGTCGTGCTAGCAGAACTGTCACTTCGGTGTCATACTTGATCGAATCACCGGGAACAGATCCGGTACAAAACTACTGAAACGTTTACGAACGTCGCAAAAATCACAGAGAAATCTGCCATGGGGATTCGTTGGGGAGTGAACTCAACTGAACAGGTTTGAATCAATATATTTTTTTTTGTAACTCACCATTTCACATCTGAGAACGGTTTCGAGTGTTTGAAGATTTTCTCTTTCTAAAAACCTCTTGAACTGTTTCTGAAGTCCTCGGAATTCATGAGATCTCGAGATGGGGATTTTTTTAGGGAACACTCCCAGCTGCGCGAAAAATCCGTTTCCTGTGTACCGTTCAGAATGATTCGTTCGAATAACCAGGAACGCATGAAAAACGTATCCTGTGGTAGAGCAGGAGCAGAATATGGTTCGTTTAGCGCCGATCACGTTGACTTTGGATGCGCCGCGCACTCAGGTCCGCGCAGAAGTGATGGGATGGTGTAACTCGTGCGTAATGTCTGTCCACGCGAGCAAATGTGTCTATAGGGTTCAGGGAGGTCCATGGCGAGCCGGTGCACTTGTTTACAGTGTTTTCCGTTGCGTATGATGGAGCGTGTCCGTGTCGACGCCGCCAGATCTATGCTCCGCCAATACTGTCTCCGATAAAGGAGACCAGCTGCTGGAAAACGTCTGATACGAACGATATGGTAGTCCTGTCGTTTGTCGAAAAAAAAACACGTTGGCTCAGCGCCAAGCGTGATCGCGGACACGCCCCATCATACGAACCGGAGTATGAGTTGTACTGTTTAGTCATCAACGGACTAACGAGACGTTGTCGACTTATTAATAATTCCAGTTCTTTCGGATTAGTTTTATGGTTGAAAGTTTTGTACTATTTTTCACATATCCGAGATCTCTACAAAGCAAGTTTTGCTCAGCACATTGACACTTTGCGCTGCTCATTACTGGCTGCCGCACTCACTACGACCCCCCCCCTCTCCTGGCGGCCAAATACGACCCCCTGTTGGGGATTCCCCAACCAACGATGTGCCCTGAGTGAACAGCTGGATTAGGCGTGGTGAAATCGCGGCCCCGTACAACTACACTACTCCGCATATTAAATTGCATAATTGCGCGTGTTGTTGCACGCACCAAAATTTCACGACGTCTAATTCAGCTGTTCGCTACCCTCCCACTTATTCGTACTCTCTATCCTGCTCGCTGATGAGCGCTGGTGCACGCTGGCAGACGCTAGATCGATACCTATGCTACATTAGCCCTCGAGACGATAGCGGAGGTTGCGGACGCTGGCAGCCGCTTGATATATCTATACTTTACGAGTCGTTGGCGCTGCCAAACGCTCGCAACGCTACTGGTTGCTGGAGGACGTTGCCGCAAAGTATGTACACAGCCTACCAGTTCAAAATTTCTGCTATTTCGAGCATTTCCGGCTAGCAATGGAGCAGTAGCAGAACTTTAGTACATAGAACGGAATCGGGGGCAGCAGCTCCAAGTATTCCTTGAACTGAATCTTCTTCAAAGTTGGGTGTGAACGAAGATGTGGCCTCTTGGAGAGTGGCAACAGCGCGCAGGAGATAGTTTCAACGACCGTAAAGAAAACCTGAACAGCGAATTTCTCTTAAAAAATGGAGAAGTGTTTCGATGCCGTTTAAAGAAACTTCCCCCTTCTATGCAGCGTCCTAGGTACTGCATAACCCAGTAGTGCGCAAGTAGCTCAGAAGTTAGTGGGTATGCCTTGTGAGCGACTGGTTAATTCCTTGATGGCCATGATTTGTCACTTTCTTCGGCATCATGACTATGGAGATTCCAAATGCCGGTAGATTAGCGTTTACCACTACTCCTCGAAAAGAATTGGATAGCAGTTTCTGATAAGTTTCGGTGCCCTGTGGAAGCCTTCATATACATATTGGTACGCGCAGGTAACCTACATGCATTCCCGTGTCAAACGAAAAAAAAAGTTGTTCAAGAAGTCAAAACAACCCGGGTGACAAGATCCTGTTCGAATGTTAAGGTTCGGAACAAACTTCGAAAAAATACGTCAGTCTTGGTGAATGATGGCCGATATCGCACAGTAATGGTTCCAGAGCTAAACTGACATCGAAACATGATCTCTAGGCTGAACCAGACTAAATTAATCCTTAAGACATATTTCGGGAGAAAAGCGTTACCCCTCTTAAGCGTCGGCATACCACGGCATGATTTCCTGCTATAAAAGACCCCCATTCCAATTTTACTTCGCTCAGCAAGAGTTATATACTGTCCCTTTCAGAGCTTCGCCTTGACATTTTAGACCATCCTATTCACATTCTAATACCACTTCATTTTTTCTGTATAAGCTGAACTTCTTGGGTTTCCTCCTTTCTCATTCTGATTTTTGTTGCCTCAGTCACTGTATCGAGAGCAAACGACAATAGCAATTTTCGTAGGGGCCGCCGCCCTTTTATAACTGGCCGAGGAGGCGGGGCATGAGAGAGAGGACGGGAATGAGAGAGAGCGCAGAGATAAAGGCTAGACGGATATCAATCTAATTATTTTAATCACGGGAACTGCATAAAGCTATTTTTCTTTCTTGCATTCAGTGGAATCCACTGTTTCCAACTCACACATTTTGAGCATTCCACGAAACCATCTAAGTTCTCACTGTTTGTGGGCAACAATGATTTTGATGTGTGTCCATTATTTCAAAAATGGATAATACCCTCTGTTCGTGAATTCTTTATTCATTTGTCACGGTACAGCATGAGCGTAACAGTCCTTACACTACGTAACAGCTGGATCTCTAATCTTTTATATCGTAGCGTGAGACGCATACAGTATTTTCTGCGAATGCGGATGTTTCGACTCAAAATCAGGTAGGAGCCGGGGTTTTTTTTTGGAGCACATCGTTGCCAGTCGTACACACGTATCGTAATACCTACACTTTCAGTGTGAAGCAGCAATCAACTTAGTCGAACAACAGCTCTCATCGCAACAATTGCTGTCTCTAGGCTGTGAAGCCTCTTTTAGATCTCCATGAAGGTATTTAAGTTGCAGTTGTAAAAGGCTATTTCTTTCCTCGCGGTCGCATATGAATAGAAATAAACAAAAACTAATTGATGGAGCTGATACCGTTGCTTGAAAAGGTTAGCCACCATTTACAGCATTGGAAGAAAACATAGCGCGAACGCAACTGCCGCGACGCGACCGCTGTAAAAATTTTTTCAGTTGACCGAAACTGAAACTAGGAGCCAAGTAGATCTACCTTGTCACGGTGTTGTTGAGTTCCTCATTCTTTCATATTTTTCATTTAGTGAATGGTGATCATTTCCAGTTTACAACATGGCCCATGCATCACACCGATCGATGTATTCGGTATTGTCACATTTCTAAAGGAGAAATTGGGTGACCACGCAAGAAAGTGAGCCGAGGTCCGTAGCTCGATAATTTTCCGTCTCTTATTCTGTACCTCCACTTAAACTGAACATGAAACCTTTGTAGGATGAAACACCTCATCTGTCTCATGCGTGTACGCGACGTTATGCGCAAAGGGGTGGCAGTGGTGCTTCGCGCCATGTCAAGATTGAGAGGAGCGATTAAAGAAGAACAGGGGAGGACAAGAGGTTCGTTACTGCTACTCTTTCCGCAGGCTGCCACACAGTTGCAACGCAAAATCATAATTAAGTAAAAACAGTTTCATGGCCAGCTAGTTTTTTAGCGGAACGTTACTTACATGGAGAGTGAATACAGAATCGATGTTTCTTTTCGCCAGAGAATGTAGACTGCAGGTGGAGAACGAAATAACTCATATCTATTTTTAAAAGTGAAGCTCAACCCTGATGTTCAGGACATCTACGAGTATGTAACAACCGAAAAGTATGCTTGTTTTTTTTTTTTGTCACGAAGTAAGTATTGTTGGCCCCATTGCTTACAATCGAGTTCACCTCATTGTAGAACTGCCAGTCCGTTCTCCCAAGATCTTCACATGACGGTCCAGCAGTCCCCCTCAGATCAAAAGAGTAACCTCGATCAGAAACACGGAGAGAAACTAGGCTAGCGGAAAGAAGCAAGCGGCATTCAACACGAGCGTTGACTGAATGCTGCCGGTTTTTTTATGGTCTCTTAGCTTCACTCCAAAGTTTTTTCTTCCGAGAAAAAAATTTATAAACGCAACTGTCTTCATGATCGTACACACTATCCGCCAATAATGACAACTATTCACCGAAATTCTAGTGGTCTGTACAGAATATGTATGAAGGCCGCGTTCAAATCGAGCTTGCGACATGAAGAAATGCAGAAGAAATGCCGAAACTCCAGACGTGCCGAAAGTGCAGACGTGCCGAAAAGCACTATAATACGTATCGCGAATTTGAAGAAATGCAGAAATGCCGAAAGTGAAGAAGTGCGGAATCTGCAGAAATGGACGCAGTGTGGAAAATCGATACGTATCCGTTGCTTTTTCGGCACATTCCGCACTGCGCATTTTCGGCATTTCTGCATTTCTTTCAAATCGATACGTATGTAATGCTTTTCGGCACGTCTGCACTTTATCCGCACGCCTGGATTTCGGCATTTCTGCATTTTTCAAGTCGATGTCTTGTTACTAATACTTTTCTGCAGATTCGGCGCACGTCTGCACTTTCCCGCAGCTTGCTGCACGTTTTCCAGCAGATTCTGCATGTTCTCGTGCATGGGTCGCAAGCTTATGAACAGCGCCGTACAGGCAGCCTACCAGCATTGGCTGGTTACGACGGACGCGGTCGACGCTATACCGAAGTCTGAGGAGCGACTTCGAAGGTCGTAGATCGCTCGCGTCTCGACACGAGGGCATTGACGCTGGCTTCGATCGGCCGATAGATTTGACACAACTGGCCTAATAGCGATCATATATCTATTGTGAATTAAAGGAGGCGACTATGGACTATCAACACAGATGCGCCACACAGAGCGCCCGCCGCCGGTCGCCCGACCCACACGCCGCGCACAAGCACGATATCGGCACACCTTTCGTGTATGTATCTATCCAATTCGAAAGCGCGATTCTATTTCTGAAGAAGATACGCCCCCATGCCAGGGCTGCACGAATCGGCCAAATGCTGCACAGCGTGGCCTCGCGAGAGATACTCGATGCAACAGCAGCATATCCCAGGTGTACAGAGGTGTTAGAAATAATATTGTGTTGGAACCGATGCTTTCGCCGCCCTCTATGTAAATCGCTTATTTACACATCGCACCAAGGACTCGCCCTCTCCTGGGCACCGAACGACTGAACATGAGGGATGCGACGCTGTGCGAATAATCAGTCGCAGCTCGTCGCCTCCGCCGGGGAGCGAGACAGCGCGTCGCCCGTGGGGGGGCCACGGGCGACGCAGACCCGCGCGTGACCGCCGATTTAGAACGGGGTCGAAATATCTCGGTAGTTCCTGTACGGGGAAGAGTATGCACGGATGGCGAAGTGTTTCAGTACGCCACTGTTTTCTGACGACCTTAGGCGGTTTGAAAAGCGAGGGATTAAAGCACTAGTGGCACGAGGAGCGGGTGCTCCGACGCCTCCAGTGCTGTTAACTGCCCAAATCGCGAAGTAAAAAGGTGAGCCCCCAGTGACGCGCAATAGACCCATCGAACAGGACTAATTAATCTGACCCATAGAATGATAACACAGCATCAAGCAAATCAGTTGAGATAATTCGAGTGATTACGGAACGCTCAAATTCCTTGGGTGGTTGACATCACGAAGCTCTCGACAAAAAGCAGCCGCCAAGAGAAACTGAATGGCGTTCGCATGTATCAATGGAAATAATTCGATGTCGAGTGTTCATGTCTATCTTTATCTCCTGGCGCTCTCTCCAACCTGCCGGTGCTCCTGCATCGGAAGCGCGCGACCCCTTTGGCCAAGGTATAAAAGAGGCCGCGCGGCACCCAATAGGATTGCTCAGTCCTCAATGTTCCAGAAGTCTGAGATCTGCAACAAAAAATCATACCAGATCAAGAAGGGAGGGGGCCTTTCTCAGCGGCACCGTATCCACAACAGGCGCGCGCCATGGTTGATCCACGCCCGCAGGCGAGCGCCACCGCAGCAGACCGCGCAGCGGCGCCTACGGCGAGGCACCGCGCGATGCGTTAACGTCGCGAGAAAACCGACAGCATGAAGTGTAGGATACCGATGCCAACGCAAAATCAGATAGCGGGCTCTTTTGAACGGGCAGACCTGTTGCTCGGTAAAATCCTCCAACTGGAGTAGGACACAAGCGTTCGTCAGAAGGGGTCCTTGGACGACTTGTATAGAACAGGAAAATACCTCGTTACATAAGAACGAAGACGAGAAACCGGAGGCGTGCGGGGCAGCGGCGCGCGGAGGGTCCGCGCGAGTTAGCTTCTTTGGGAGCCACTGAGCGCGGAACTTGTCCGAGGCGAGATTGCCAGCTCGAGAAACACACCATATGGAGTGTAGTTCATCAGGTGAGATTCGGGCAGGACGCTGTGCATAGCCTGGCCGGTGTTTGAGCCCATTTGTGAGCCGCACGGATCTACGAGGAGAAGACAAGTAGAAACAGCTTGGACCATCCAGCGCCAGTAGCTTCGCCAATATAAACCTCGCTAACGCTGAGCTACTTAGCTGTACACGTTGCTTGGTGGGCAGGATCCCGCCGTACCGCCTGGCAGGTCCCGGGTACGACCGGAGTGAAAAACCTTTTTTCGAGCGACGTGGGCCACGCGCACGCCCTTCAGAAGGGCGGCCGCCATACGCTTCACACAGCCATACGTTTATAGGGAAGAAGCTTAAACTGTATGGGAAGAACTCCACACTAATTTTTTTTGTCAATGCAGACTACACTATTTGGCTCAACACAAGTTCAACTCAACTAACGGATGCTGCCCGCGAATGTGTAAAATACGAGAACTATACTAGGACACAAGACTGGAGAGAGAGCCATTTCTTTTTCCATCCCCTCACACTACTTCTCAGCCGCCGCCTAATGCTTACAGGACCACGTGACTTCTCCAGTTTGAAAAGAAACATGTCCGCCGAGACCGGTGACACACGCAGGATGTATGTGAAAAGGTAAGCGCGGTTCCGGTATGGACAACCTGTGGCAGGTTTCAGCGCCGCCAAAGTCGTCCTTGCCAGTGCAAAAGTAATGCCCTGGCAAGCGGTCACCTCGAACTAGGAAGGTCGTTCAGCGACGGTGAACCTTTGTTGAAACACGGTTTTTTGCATGAAGCGGACGTCACGTGCCGCATTAAAGTAACCGAACGTGTCATGTTTCCCACGGCCCCTGAACCCCCCCCCTCGTTGGAATCCAAAAATGGAGATGAAAAGAAGTCCACGGAAACCTGAACGTGTGTGAGCGATGAATGGGGGCTCTAAATGCACCGCAAAACTTCGGGCAGTCAGCATGACATGTGGGTCTTATAGGAGCCCACCTTGTGCTGCTAATTCCGAATGAGAAAAAGTAGGTCGCCACAGCGGCGTCTTAACTTCGTGGCACGGTCGAAGCGTGTTGGAATGGGCTCTTAAAAAGTCACGCTGATTTGGAAAAGCTGTCTGTGCCTAATGATACGCTCCCTGTTGTTTGGACCCAGTTAAAGGCAGAATCCGCGATTACTCGCCATTCCAGATGGGATTAGGGGGTTCACTATAGAAGACGAGGGGATGAGTAACTCGACAGTGAAGAAAAAAGCACAAAAAAACATGCCACCTGCCTTAGATAAAACCCCATTTTGATCCCAGTTTGCACGTGCCCAATTAACTCTATCTTTGTTCCTTATGAACTTGCTGCAATTGATTTTTCTTCCTTTCCTTACTGAGGAGCACGAAAGGAGGAATATGCTTTTGCTCGGCTTCCGTCTAACGGCACGTGCGAAACGGAAGTTGAGCTACATATCTCTCTGCTTCCGACCCCCCTCAATAATTCTCATTTATTAGATTTTACAACATAGTCCACTAATCTCAGTTTCAATGATTTTATTCAGTGAAAAACGAGATTGCAGGAACAAAAGGCATGAAAATCGTCACTTGTACGATCGTAGAGTTCTTACCGATGGATCAGCTGTGCGTATGAGGGCATAGTGAGGGAGATAAAGTTGAAAACAATAAAGACTGAGAAGTTTAAGAATGCTAATTTATTGGTCAACGTGAGTAGGATATAGTAATTACGAAAAACAGACTATCACTCGATGTTACCTTATAACTACCCGAAATTATTACACGACACATGCAGGTAAAAAAATTGGGTTACATAGTGACCAGTTAAAAGAAAACGCCACTGAGAATACCTCGGACTAATCTGCTTATGCTACCATAATCATTCGTAATAGAGTACTTGTAACACATAAGTTTATTTCCAAGCTTAGAAAGCCAGCCATTGTAGGCGGGGTTTGGAGGCGGAGGCAGTGGAAAGAGGAGGA